CCAAAATTGATCGGCAACCAAAAATCTATTTTTTGTTTCATTTGTTACAAAAAGTGGAAAACCGACGAGAAGAATAAAGCGATTTCAGTGATACAAAGACCTCCGTGACCACCGGGAATCCGCCGACCCGCTCAGACCAGGGGCGGGCAACCACGGCACTCCAGCTGCGGCGAAACTACAAGTCCCATGAGGCATTGCAAGACTCATGATAGTCACTGGCATGACCCCCAGAGGCATGATTGCAAATCCTATCAGGTCTCTTCTGCATCTAGGAGTGTGACTGTCGGAGTCTTGCAATGCCTCATGGGACTTGTAGTTTCACCGCAGCTGGAGTGCCGAGGAGGCCCACCCCTGGGCTAGATCATTCCATTGTATCCTCCATAGTCATCAACAATCCTCCATAGTCATCAATAATCCTCCATAGTCATCAACAATCCAGGAAAGTTACAATTATTGATACAAATAGGATGTCCGGTATTACCTCAGTAGGCAGAAGGTGATCCATGGCGTAGCGGTGGTGTCCCAGGCAGGGCCGGATTTCCCACAAGGCCAACCGAGGCCCGGCCTCGGGGCAACAGGGAATAAATCTGGCCCTGGCCCCAGGTGACTATGAACGTTCATGTCATTGGGGGCCAAAAGGTGAAGAACCTCCAGATGGGGGGAGCGCAGTGGAGCGTAGACATAGAACGGTGAATGGAGCCCCAATGAGCAAAGACTATTCCAATGTGTCGGGGGATCTTTGTGCCGAGCTCAGCAATAGCCGCCCACCTCAATGTCAAGGATGGCGGTGTGTCATGGGAGGCAGAGGAGCCATTGCAAGTCCAAGAAGGGACATAGAGCACCCTCTTAGGGCCCATTCACATGGCTGTAGGACAATATGGTAGTTAGCGTGAAGGACCTTGGTGGCCGTGTGCTGTACACGTGTGACATTTTGTGCAAAGTTTACATGCATACAACATGTATAGCAAAGGTGCCCTATTGGTTGCTAGGACACTAGGTGGTAAAAGCTGCCCGCACCCTAGCGACAAAGTACTTTAGACAGATTGAGCCACTTGCGTCCTAGCGGTGAGGGACGCTAGGTGGCTCTGACCGACCACATCCTAGCAACCAAAGAGCATATGTGGCAAGGAGCCACCTGCACCCTAGCAACAATGGACTTTAGGCAGCTCTAGTTACATGTATCCTAGCAACAAAGGACACCAGGTGGATCAGGCCGTCTGCATTCTAGCAATGAGGGACTCTAGGCAGTGTGAGCGGTCTGCACCCGAGCAATGAAGGACTTTAAGTAACTCCAGCCACCTGCATCCTAGCAACAATGGACTCCTAGGCAACTTGAGCAACCTAGCAGCAAAGGACGCTAGGGGGCTCAGCTCTCCTTCATTGTAGCAACAAAGGACCCTAGGTGATCCAGGCTGACTGCGTCCTATCAACAAAGGACCCTAGGTGGTCCAGGCTGCCTGCGTCCTATCAACAAAGGACCCTAGGTGGTCCAGGCTGCCTGCGTCCTATTAACAAAGGACCCTAGGTGGTCCAGGCTGCCTGCGTCCTATCAACAAAGGACCCTAGGTGGTCCAGGCTGCCTGCGTCCTATTAACAAAGGACCCTAGGTGGTCCAGGCTGCCTGCGTCATGAGCAACCTAGCAGCAAAGGACGCTAGGGGGCTCAGCTCTCCTTCATTCTAGCAACAAAGGACCCTAGGTGATCCAGGCTGCCTGCGTCCTATCAACAAAGGACCCTAGGTGGTCCAGGCTGCCTGCGTCCTATCAACAAAGGACCCTAGGTGGTTCAGGCTGCCTGCGTCCTATCAACAAAGGACCCTGGGTTGTTTAGGCTGGCTGCGGCTTAGCAACAAAGGACCCTAGGTGGTCCAGGCTGCCTGCGTCCTATTAACAAAGGACCCTGGGTTGTTTAGGCTGCCTGCATCCTAGCAACAAACAACGCTAGGCAGTGTGAGCCCTCTGCATCCTAGTAACGAAAGGTTACTAAGGTAACCCTAGGTAGCCCGCCTACCATCCTTTAGTTGCTAGGATGCAGGCGGCTACAAAAGAGTGCATTTGCGCTATACGCATGTAAACACTCTTCTTTGTCGAATAGCAATGGGCCGCTGGGTAAATCCACGCATGATAAGAGTTATCTTAGGGGACGTGTTTTGATGTGACATTTATCTGGGACGTCTTTTGACAGACGCGTGTTCCAACCATTTTCCAATCTCGGGCCGTTCAGACTTTGCGTCGCGAACAATATTACTTTACAACGCTTCAGCCCTCCGTTGTATCGATCAATATCCCTGTATACAGATGACCCCCCCCCCCCCCCCCCCCCT